AGCCACTTTATATGTATGGAAGATTAACTGTAACTAGAATACTCGACCTGGGCTCTCGCTAGACAGGCACTTATGGTATAATGCAGCTTCTTCACTCACTTATATTACTGATATCTCATTAAACATGCATATAAATGATATCTTAAGGTTCATAGCCAAAGGAAATGTACTAATATTTTATGTAATCATCCTTTGATGCACTAGAGAAGTAAATTATGCCATATAAAGTCTTCCGAACTGATTTCGATTATAACAACCAATCTCGCTGAGATTAGTCTATGATAATGAACTGCGTGAAACAAGCGTATTTTCTATTTTTTTTTATTCTCATAATGACTAAAGGTTTACTATCATAGCCTCACTACTACAGTAATTAATTATTATAGTCCGAGTACGGGTACGGACCCAGGACCTAACGATCTACAGTCGTAAATATTAGCCGCTAATACAAAAAAAACTGCTGTAACAACATTTCTTTAATAAACACTATAACATGTAAATATCAATGATTCAAATCTGTTGATATACACAGCTTCTGATGTCACATTGCGTTCTAAGCAATATGCCGCATTTTGTAATTTTGAAATTGCCGCGCACAGAACACTTTTTATTATTAAACTAGAAACTCAACCTCGCTTCGTTCGGGTTCGTCCCTACGTTTTTAACGTTTTATATAGATTTGTCAGAGATGAGATATTTTCCCGCAATAAAAAGTATCCTATATGTTGATTCGGATAACCAGCTATCATCACACCAAATTTCATTAAAATCCCTCCAGTGGTTTTTCCGTGATGCAGTAACAGACAGACAAACAGACAGATAAAAGTTCTAAAATCTATAGATTTAGCCTCTGTATCGATAATAATGTCTATTTCAATAAGATTTTCCAAAAAATATTTAATGTACATATTCAGCTCAGAACTTTATTATATGTATAGATTTAAATACTTTTATATCTTATTATAATACTAGGAATCTAATGTATGGATGGATGGATGACGACACGTTTGGTTCAGTTTGTGGTGACCCTACTTGCTGTGCCAACGGTCGCGGTTTCGAATCCCGCTGGGGACATTCGTTTGAGTAATGAGCACGAATTTTGGTACTCCAGTCATGGGTGTTTATATTTATAATATGTATGTATTTAAAGTTATAAATGTTTAGAGTATCGACTATCTGATATCCATAACACAGAGCTCGTAGCTTACCATGGAACTAGATGGTGCTGTGTGTTAATATACCAATGTCGTGTTATTATTGAGGCAAATATTACTGAGGTAATATAGATATAACAGTCAAATATATAAAATCAGGGTTCGATCCGAATACATCGATATTAAAATAAACTACTAATTAAAATACACATTCGCATACTGATTAAATCGGGACCGGTCCTCGCTAATATGTTAATGTTTCTATAAGCTTTCGATCCTAAATGTATGTCACCTTGATCTCTAAACTTATTTTATCTATTGAATGTTAGTTTAATTAATTTGTCTCTTCAAATCCGTGTTTAAAAGATAAAACTAAAAAATAATGATATACTGGACTGCTGTAGAACAAGCGACCATAGCAGCTTATGATGTCATTCTTAAATCGCTGAAGGATAGAAATAAAAAAATACATGGGAATAATCTATACATATAATAAAATTATAACTAAGCCGAATCTGTACAATAAATATTTTTTGGAAAATCTTATTGAAATAAACATTATTATCGATACAGAAGCCGAACCTACAGTTTTTAGATTTTTTCTCTGTCTGTCTGTCTGTTACCGCATCACAGAATATCACTAGCGGGATTTTGATGAAATTTGGTATGGTGATAGCTGGTTATCCGGATCAACATATAGGATACTTTTTAACGCGAGAAAATATCTCATTTCTGAGAAAAATACAAAAACTGCAATGTAAGAGGTTTATTTTTGAGGAGGATTTTTAATTCGGCGGAATTCTGACATTTCAGAAATGTTGTCAGCTTTGAAACATTGTCACTAAAAACGGAAAGCATTTTAGTTTCTTTCTTTCTTGAATTTAAGGTTTCAATTAGAAAAACTAAGACTTAAAAAAATATTGATAACTCTAAACTGGTAATTTTTTTTTATTATCATATTATCGAAGTTAGAATAATTATTAAGGAAATTATTTTTCTATTACAGGAATGCCTGTTCAATAATACATAGGTTGCAAGCCTTTTTTTAGGAAAATCCCTTAGTTTGTAAGATCTTTGCAATTGGCAAAAAGAATTGGAAAGTCCCAAAAAGACAGGTCCACAACGATCGTTCACGATTTTTTATTATTGTTTTTGGCAAGAATGCATAAACCATATTATAAAAGAAAAGGATAAAATGTGCTCTCTTAATGATCTGATGGATAGTGTGTGTGATTCTTTTATAATCCGAGTGGATGATGACGACAAAGATGATATAAGTAATAATGATTAGTAAATATTTTCATTTCTTATATTTTGTTTTACTCTGTTTTTCTCATTTAACCATTAAAAAAATTACATTAGGTATAGTGTGCATTGAATGCACAAAACAAAGACTATTTACAATGTCATACATATAGTTTACTTTATCTAATTCTGTTTCATATTTTTGGTTATTTTGTATTAAAAAAATACAAAGCAGAAAAGGTTTATGATATCTGAATTGTCAAAGAATGATAGCTGTCATATTTCCGTGGAATTAAAAATCAGACTATAATATGTAAAACCTAAGAATTTGGTTTTTGGTCATCTGAACGCGGGCGGAGCCGCGGGCAATGCTAGTATCTTATAATTCTATATTATAACGATATAATCTACTATAATATTGTAGAATGTATAATGAGATCTTCTCTAAGCCCTAACACTCGACTAAATTTTTTTTTGTTTTCGCTTCAAGTGCAAAAAAATATAAAAATATCCATTTTTTACAAAGCAAATCTAATATATTTTGATACGTATTATACATATTTACCTATTAGATTCATATCTTAAAATATTGTCGGCTGGCACCGACTTCGAAAATATGTGATTAGCTATCTATTCTAAATGAAAACCTCCGTTTAGTTATTTTTTACATTTTAGTGGCTGGAAGTCGGTTTTTTTAAATTTTTTATTTTTACATTTTTAGTGTAGACGTAATGAGCAGATAATTTGTAAGAAGAAAATTTTTAATAACATATTAAGCAATTTATTTAAATATATATTGTTAATTTTTTAAAAAACCGCTCGACCGATTTTGATAAAATTTATATGGGACCTGGGAGGTATACCCTTTGAAACAAAAAAAAATAATCCAAATCGATTCATGCGTCTTCGAGTAATCGGTGAACATACATAAAAAAAATATTCCAACGAATTGAGAAGCTCCTCGTTTTTGCACGTGGTTAAATACATTTTTAATACGCAAATATAAGTTACAGGACTTACTTATAATAAAAAATATCCTATTATAACAGCTTTTTAGCTACATAAGTGGTGTTCCATATCGTGAAATGCTACGATAATCGTTATTTTTTGTCGTTGTATTTAAAGTTTTCTCAAATTTTTCTTACCCCAAAATCAGAGCTTGTTTGTTTTCATACAGGGCTAGCAGCAATCAACATATCACGGCGCAATTAAAAACTCGAATGCTTCTTTCATAACGAAATATTTCGATTCATCAAATGAGGCTATTGAAAAAGCATAAGTCCTATATCGTTTTACGTTAATTATTTTTATGTACTGCTCAAATGTTTAATTTTTAATCAAAAAAAAATATTGATTACAATATTTAAAATGATTAAATGCTTATTATTTTCCTAGCCAAGAAGACTATCTAATAGAAACATAATAAAATTTAAAACAGAATACTAATAAAATTAAAAAAAAATCCGTACATTTTTTATTTTCTATTTTAACGATTGTAATATGATATTATGACGTCATTTTAAACCCTTTGCTAATAATAAATACCACCTTTGCTATTTCAAAAGTGAGAAATTTTTTAAATCTTACATACGAGTATCTAAGAAAAACTGAAGAAAATGTGTAATTCATAAGTGTAATATTCTCCATTAGTTAATTTTAATTTACTTCAATAACATATTTTAAGCTTATTTATTTAAAGCTCAAAAGTTTTAGATGCAAAAGTCTATTTCTCAGTTCTCATATACATACATTTATAACAGCAATTAGCCACATATCAACATGTGTAATTAAAAGAGTCGAGTGCTTCCTTTAATAAAGTTGGAAACAACACCATAATCAACTGATTGCAACTTTAATAACTTGATGCGAGTTCGGTAAAAGGGATAGAGAGATGTTTCTGTCTCGCATGGAAATCTGTGCAAATCGTAGCTTGTAGGGCGGGATCGGTGGCTACGAACGGATAGATATGACAATATAGTAATTTTTGTTTTAATTTTCTGTAATAATGAAGCTAATAAAATTATTTTATAATATACATGTATGAATGGATCATATGATTTTCACATATATACTATATTGATTTATTCAATTACCAACAAGAGTTACAATATTATATTACTTAAAGCTAGATAACATAATAAATAAATAAATAAGTATAAAGACTAGTCTTAGCCATACTTGTAATTGGTCTTTTGTTCTACACGATTCTAATAGCCTAAGAGTAACTTTTAGAAAAACACTATAGTAATATTATCTGTAGCATGAACCTAACTCTTAGCAAATGGAAGTGTGTTAGTTTTTCTATTTTTACATAAAATAGGACAAACAAACGAACATACTATGATTCTTCTTGAATATACTCGTACATAGACGTCGTTTGTTGTTAAATACCTGGAAACTTAATGCAGGTGGAAGTGGTGAAGGGACTGATCTCACTACAAGATAATGGTACTAAAATATGATATCATATATTAATCAACATAATATGTTATTGGAATGAATGGAGAGATGGAGAAATGGAGAATGGAGTCATTTATTGATATGTTTTTATTAATTTCATTTTATTTTTTTGAATTCTTTATGATATTAAATACTTCTGACATGATTAAAAATAATATTGAGATGGCCGATGTAAGTCTACGGATATACAAGCTATGATATGTATTTAAATATGTGTTAATGTTTTGTTACTTACCAAAATATTCTGTTTTTCAAATATAATTAAAACCACGCAAGTATTACCCATATGAAAAAAAAAACCTTTTTAAATAAAAATTCAACAATATCAAATACATAATAATTACAAATGCATAAGCTAATTATAATATATATTCTTCTTTAATACATTGGATTATGTGAAGCATCCCACGCGGCCATTGGTAGGTCTGTGGAGGGCGTTTAAAAGCTCGCAGTCGGCCCGCCCAAGCGCATTCCACGAGAAATCACCGGTTGCTGTAGGTCTTGCCTTGGCTACCTGAACGTTACACGTAAGTAGTTTACTTATATATCATTTATATTTCTTTGCTATTTTTAATAAGACAATAAGAGGCAAAAGGTTTTAAAAATTGATTGAAAAGTTTTGTTAGGCGGTGAGAGTTGTAAAAGTTTGAAGTTAGTATGTTAATGATATTTTTAATAAAAAATCAAAGTTTGAAAGCCTTATTAATAGTTAAGTGATATTCTAATATTTTTTTCCAACCAAGAAATATATTAAAACAATAAAATACCACCTTAAAATACATTTAAAAGTATATAATATTAACCACGAAAAATATTTAAAAAAAATATATACACAACTTAAAATATATTTAAAAGTATGTAATACAAGTCCTTTGAAGTTAAAACCTAAGTAGTTTTCACTTACTTAATAATAACTTAATTTGTTTTGTAAAAACTTTTTTTTATTAAAATTAAAAAAATACAATTTATGACACTACAAAATGTAACTTTTACGTCCATTTTTAGTATAAGTATGTATATATATGATACAAAAGTTTAAATTTCCTAGTTGACAAACTTTTTAAAAATTTTAGTAAGCCTTTTATCAATACCAGAATATAAGTACATATTCGTTATATATTTATATTATATATAAAATATTATTCCATAATTAATTATAAAACTAATTAAAATTATAAAAATGTTTAAAGTTAAAAAATATTGTAAGGTACTTTGGTGCCATTTTTCAATTTTTTTAATTCATTTTGTTATATTGTGGGTAGGCTGTCTGTAACAACTATATAATACCTTTGAGACATATAACACCTTAGTCTCTCCCGTGACCATGATTGCTGACCTGTAAAGCATTCGAAACGGCGGAAACCAAAAATCAAAATAAATTCGCGAAAAAATCCGAAAAGATAAGTTTATTTAAAATGTCAAATATTCGCGTAAATCTAAGAAAGGACTATAAAATATTAATTCACTTTATTCTCGCACCTATTATCTGTTAATCCCGCAAAGTAACGTGCGTGTATATGAATAAAAAATACCGGCTGAAAATATATCCTTTTTGGGAGTCGATTATCAAGAGTATTTAAAAGCAAAAATAAAAGAAAAAATATTTGTAATTTTTATACAATAAGTTAATATTTAACTTTGTTAAAAACTTTCGCTATTAAAAGCACCTATTAGAATTTGGAGTACCTATATTGTTAAAAAAATAAATATTACTGTTCTTTTAAAACATAAATTGTTTTTTTTTCTATTCTGGGTATAGATTACTAAGAAATACTGCTTAATATGATCTTATTTGAATAATTTTTATTTAACAATTGGGTATTTTTATTCGATATACGTTTATATTAATCATTTGTATTATAAGTTTATTCATTTTATAATTAAAAGATAAAAGAACAAAAACCTTATATGTTACATATATTAATTTATAGTTTTAAAATCATTAAAACATCTACTTTGAGTAAGAATATTAACTGTAATTTTTCATGACAATTTTAAATTATTTAAAATTAAATAAACACTAAAATTAAAAATGGTAAACCACTAGATGAATTTATGATTTTTTAATTTCTTATTTCAAACTAAATATCAAGCTAAAATAACTGATGTTGCTTTAATTGTATTCAGCCCTTTTTTTTGGCGTCCCACAGCTGGGCACGGGCCTGCCTTTAAATTTTTGTTAGTTGCTTTAATTATTATTTGTTATTTAATATTTATTTTACTTATTTTATTTCAATTGGCCAATTTATTATTCATAGGTAATTTATTTTACGGATTCAAATCAAGTGTTTTTATATTGTTTACAATAGCCGACGTTTCGAACTCGAGTACGAATTTAGTAGTAGTAAGACTGAAAAAGCGAGCAAAAAATAAAAGAAATACATTAAAAATAATATATTCTTAACAAGGAAAAAGAATTTAATTGACTCTTCATATTATTTACTTATGAAGACAATCCATATAGGTATATAAAAGGTAAAAGTGATTGACTGATGTATCAACGCACAGGCCAAACCCTTAAGGCTAGAAAATTGAAATTTCGCACACGTATTCCTCATATGACGAAGGCATCCACTAAGGAAGGATTTTTAAAAATTCAACCCCCAAGAGGGTGAAATAGGGGATAAAAGTTTGTATGTAACTTTTTATTCCTTGGACATATTTGCATCAAATTTCATATAAATCGAGTATGGCAACAAAAATTAGTTACGTATTTCAGGGTTTTCTAAAATTCAACCCCAAAGAGGGTAAAATAGGGGATGAAAGTTTATAGGAAACCCACTTTTTAGAGTTTTTTTGTAGTTTTAGCGCGAGCGAAGCCGCGGGTTCGGGGTTTTTTAATATAAAAAGTATATTCTATAAGAATGCACTTATCAGATTGTCTTCTATTCAAAATATTAAGTTATGTAGATCCGACGGTAATGTACGCATGAGTAAACAAAAATACCCACGGCAATCTACAATTACTTATTGTAAGTGTTTTTTATAACCTATATATAGGTAGCGGTAGCCCAATGGTAATGTACTCGCTTGGGAAACCGAAGGAAGCGGGTTCAAATCCCGGGTCTCGCACCTCCAGTATTTTCATTTGCGAATTATTTCCAACATGATTACCGCTTGTCTTATGGTGAAAGAAAGCCACACTGACCAGCGTAGTGGACCTGAGAGGTCCGTGTCCGGCTGTGGGACGTTAAAAAGAGCTGAATACATATACATTTATACATAATACAAATAATATTCATATATAATTCCATTATTTCGATGAATTATTTGATTTGATTCTCGTTCAGGTCAAGTATTTTTCTCATTATAACACTTATCAAATTTTAAAAGATGGTGTTGTTTTACTTGAAGTACAGAAAAATAGATTTTTATTTGAATTGAGTCTAGAATATATTAATATAGTATGAGTCTAGAATATATCAATAATAATTATAGATTAAATTAGTGAAAACTTCTTGCATCTATCTTAACGTGGTACTTTTTTTATTTAATTAAGAGTTAAAAAGAAATCATAAATATCTTAAATAAATATTTAATAATAATTTCTTTCTTCTAAGCCAACATTCAAAACGCTCATTTTTCTATTTTAACTCTAAATTGACGATCCAAAAGAGGAAATACTCGTAGCTAACCTAAATATGAACGTAATCGAAAAACTCGACTTTTTTGGTAAACCACTTTGCCGGTTATAACAACTCTTAACTATGAAATATTTTGTAAAGTGCTTTAATAGTATTTAAGACTCGGAGACGCAACAAGTAAAATATTATAACATATTTTTTTTAGTAATGATGACACTTCAGTGTTGTTTTTTTAATTTATGTTGGAGTAGTATTAACTAAATTGAAGAGATAGAGTTTAACCTTCTTCTTCTAATAGTGTGCATTTATTTTGGGTTATATCTTATAATATTAAATAAGCAATTCTTGTATTATATTAATATAAAATTTATTTAGTGTATCTCAGAAATGGCTATAACGATTTGGATTAATTTTGTATTTAGACAAAATTTAGCTTTTTAACTTTATCTAAGGGCTGAGTACAATTATAATCATTATATTATAGTACTTTAACCTTTATTCAATTCGAACTATTAAAAATTCTTATTTTCCACTGAAGCTGTTCTCATGAGCTTTGACTACTTTTATTTTGTTATTTTTTACCCACTCATAAAGAAATAAAGTTTGCGAACTCGTTAGTTATATTAATTTTGGAATGTTACTTCACGAGTACTGAGCGATAACTTTCATTTAAAAATGCTGTAGGTACTGTGAACAATTTGGTTATTGAGAGTATGTAATGTAGATTACATTTACATTTTAGACATCATTTTTGGCTCAGTTGTCCCTACTTTTTGCGCCAGCGGTCGCGGGTTCAAGTCCTGCGGGGGGCATTCATTTGTCTAATGAGTACTCCAGTCATGGGTGTTTATTTTTATAATATGTATTTAAAGTTATATATGTGTAGGGTATCGACTATCTGGTATCTATAACACAAGCCTCGTAGCTTACCATGGAACTAGATTGTGCTGTAGGACATTAACAATGTCCCAACATATTTATTAATATTTATTATTTATATTTAATTGACGATAGAATAAGAGATTTCAAAGATACGTGTGTCTAAAGCACCCAATCGAACAAATCATGTAATAGAAAAGTTTTTCTGAAGAATAAAAGAACAAAATTAAAAATATACGTGTCGAATTGAGAACACCTCCTTTTATTTCGTCGGTTAAAACTACTGTTTTTTTTTAATTTTTAATAAAAGTATCTTCGGATATTTGCGCGGATTTATTTTGACATGTGTTAGCCCAGTGGTCGAAAAAAAAATTATATGGCCAACGCTGGCTAATAACTATTTATATCTATTTAAAACGTATCTATGGACGCACCCGAGCGAGGCGAGGGGGAGCCGCTTTTATTCATATACATTGTAAGTGAAAATTTCAAGTGACTTAGAGTCTCCGGAGTATCCGGGAGTGAGAGTATCCGGGTCAACATATAGGAATGCTTTTTACCGCGGGAAAATATCTCATTTTTGAGAAAAAATACAAAACTGTAATGTAAAAGTATACTAATATGTAAAACCTAAGAATTTGGTTTTTGGTCATCTGAATGCGGACGGAGCCGCGGGAAATGCTAGTATGATATATAATTTAATGATATTGTTTGTGGATTTTCGAGCGAGTCCCTGCCAGGTTTGAATTCACAAATTAATCCGGTAGGTAGCGCTGCAGTCCAAAGACTCCATGGTCATCTGAATACGGGCGGAGCCGCGGGCAATGTTAGTATATTATAATTTTATTAAGATAAAAATAGAAAGTCTAATTTCATAACCAATTGTAACGTGCTGTGGTAAAAACAAGTACTTCAAACAATCTACATAAGTGCTCGTAACAAATTCTTAAATGAATAATGTATTTATTTGTATACGTTGCGGTTGTTACGTTGTTTTTGCATTCGTCAATAGGAATTGATATTTGAGTATATTTATTCGCTAATTGAAATGAATTTCGAAAGTA